TTTTTAAATAATCTGGATTTTTTGGGCTTGAGTCCGGTACTAATAAATAGAAGACCGGACTCTATTAGGGAAAATCCGTTAGTATGACGAGAGTGCTTTACTCGTTACTGTCACGTGACAGGGAGCGCTATCTACGAAAGCTATTATATAAATGAGTGTGTCGATTATATTTATCACCATTTGTGACTTATTAAATAAGCTTATAAAGTCGTACTTATTAAAAAAGTCTAGAATAAAATGCCCTTTCCAAAAGGTACTCAAAGTGGAGAAAGTACGTGTATCAAGTTCAAACCAGTGGCATAAATACGTCGATGTGTAAAAAATCAACTTTGTTCACCGAATAATTTTGAGAATTCCTTTTCTTTCTGCGTCTAGTTTATAAATTGCACGGAGAGTCGGCGCCTCGAACAGAAAGAAGGCATTACCATTTATATGTTGTTTGGTATGCAAATTTGACTATTTGATTGATATATTGGTGTAATGGATCCAGAGAAAATAAATCACTGGCCAAAAATGATTCTTAACTACAATTTGAGTAATGGGCACCGAATCGTTAATGGCATCTACATAACGTATACATGTGGCATAAATGTATGTATACATCTCATATATACAGGGCTTTCCTCTTCATTTTAAATTTGACGTGTTCACCACAAACCCCACAATATGCGACTGTCGGTGTTGGCATTTATAGTGACTCTGTCCATTTCCGTGCCAAAGTATGACGCGTTTTCTTCCTCTACTAACACGGACAAGTCTCGGGTTACACCGCTAATATCCGACATTGAAGACTCAGCAAATGTGCCTGCAGAGCTGTCCAGTGGTTGGAAAGCCCAAGATAGTCAGTATCGCCGACTAAAGCTGTTTGATCAATTAAACCCAGCCGACCATAGTAAAGTTGCCGCTCAATCAATAGGTACAGATATGATGTGAAAATATTATTTGGTTGAACGCGAACGTCTGACTTTGGTGGCTACGGGCATTTTTATTAGGTGAGGAAGATACAGCTGGTGTGAAGGACAAACTACCACAGCTAGAAACTGAACCCCCTCGTTTTGAAAATGAACAGCGAAAGTTGGCCAATGGTAATATACACGAATCCGATTTTGCAGCGTTTGAAAAACCAGAATATTTAAAGCGATTGAGGAGGCGTCATAGGAGGGATCATCTCCTCAGGCATTTCAGATATGTTACGGATATCGAATGGCGCTGGCCTAAATTTGCTAAAACCTTATGGGCGAAGTTGAAGAAACGCGTCGAACCCATCAAAGTTAAACCAATGTAAGGTTCAGCACAGTACCTTCCTTTCGCTTCACACCAACTATGATGCAGCACAGTATCGACGAAAAGACTTGTTGTACTGTTAGTATCTCGTATCATGATTCTTTCGCTTTTTTTTAAATCCGTGTTAGGCATTATCTTTTCCATTACCTCGATTTAAGATTTTATAAAGTACCGAGTGGGGTGACAGAATATCGGTAACGAATGATTTAGTTCAGCGCAAACCGCTACAGCGGTGGTGTTGAAACGATGCAGCAATTCCAGCAAACAGCAGAGTAAAGCAAGATGTTACTACTGTAATTATACAATATGTCCTACTATTCCGACAATATGATACATCATAAAATATATGAGACTTAAAATGTTATGTTCAACTTACAGCACATAAAGACGCCAAGTTAAAAATTCAAGACGAAATTCTGGTTTGTTTATCGTGCGCATCAGATGGCAACACAGAGCTAAAGAAATTCGCTACTAATCGCCTATCAATCATGATGAGCCCAAAGTGAAAGTCCGAAAAAGAGATTGAATCTAACTTTCGATTGTGTCGCAGGTCTCACTCGCTATTTTTGCTCTCTACTTGATAGATTATGAATTTCACTGGCATCTGGAATAACGGAATTGACTGCAGCTTCTCTAGCATCAATTTGGACAACAGTTCCGCTGCTGACTATCTGGTCATGCTCATCAGCTATTTCGACGCTGTGTCTTCAAGCATGGTGAGCTGGAAACACGAGATTGATGGGCATTTGGCTGCAGATGGGATTCACCTTGGTAGCGATCTGTACACCAGCGCTGATGCTATTTGATTGGTTTGTAGGAATTGAACTACGTGCAGTCACAGACGAGAAAGAGATTGTGCGTCTTGGAGTACGTTTTGCGCGCATCTTGTTGTTCTCTATCTGGCCGAATGCAGCGAACGCCTTTTTGCGGCTTTACTTTCAAGCTGTTGGCGTTATGATTCCTACAATTGTCGTAGGCGTGATCACAATAATGGTCTCTATTGCTGCAAATTATTTTTTATTTACGGTGCATTCGGTCGCGTGGGCCTGGGGTTTAACGGGGGCGACTGTCGTAGCTTCATGGTTTCAACCTATAGCACTTACGTGGTATTGTGTAGTCTACAAGAAATTCTACCTCCGAGTCTGGAATCAATGGGACTTTAACGAAACTACTCGCGAGCGCATGATCATATTCTACAATAATTCTGCCACAACAGCCGTCAATAGTTTAATGACTGACGCCGCGGCTTCGGTGCTTTTTTTAATTGCGGCGCAGATTATCGCTGCTAATGCTATTGTATCGGGATTCTGGCGTTTATTATGGGCGCTCTTTTGGGGGTTTGGAATGGGCACACTGTCATTATCGTGGCACTGCTCGCGTTGGGTGCTCTTGTTCTTCGTGCGGTTGTATTCCGATTGCACACGGCCAACGAAGACTTGCTTAACATATGCGCGTCAGAACTGCCAATTTTTGGGTCAAGTGCATATCCATGCATGGACCAGTGCAATAGCTTCATGGCTCTTCGAGTTGCCCACTGCTTATATATTTGCAGTCGCTCTTAAGGTAGGCTTCAAGGCGCTGTGGTACTAAATTTGCGTTATGGAGATACTCAAGCTAACTGTGTTACGTCGAATCGACTACGTTGAGATGGCGCGCATAGCTGTCAAAAAATGGAAGTGGAGAATGACAACGAAGGGTCGAGGGTGGCAGTGCGGAATACAGTTCTTTCTCTGACACCAACAGCTATGTAATGCAAACTACAAAGCGGCGATACATTTTACTAAGACAGTTCTGTAATACATATCGCGCCACCAAGAAATAATCCAATTAATTGAAATCACAACGCTGACTGAGTTGAAAATTTGTGAATTCGACGTGTTAGCACGCCGACTTTCTCCCAAATCACATCGTGATTATGGCTTTGGATCGTCCGATTTCGCTCGCAGCGCTGGTGCAAAGTCCTTCCACGCTTATATGTGGGGGCCTTCCACTCACACCCAGAGCACAACGAGCGCAAAAATATCGCACTGCAAGCACCTCCTTAACCTTGAGGTCATCACTCTTCAAATGTATTACCTGCGCATAGAGCAGCAGCAGTCAACAAACCCTGTACCCTTCCTGCAAGACGTTTCTTCGGTACTTGGAGCTGGCGAGAGTGCTGCTAAGTAGTGATTCAGTTCGCGCAGCGGATGAAGTAAAGCGCTAACCTAATCGTCTTAGGGCTCTACAAGCCAGCTTTATCAAAGCGGACGTCAAGGCAGCAACCCATTGCGTTAAGTTCCTGCTGTTACAATCCCGCTGTAATAAATACCAGACAACGGTCCCTCTTACGGTCATTTCGGGCGCCTCACCCGAGAACAAAGCGCTTTGACGGACAATGCTGCCTGTTCTCCAAACGAAACAAGAGTTGAGGGTACGACAGGTCACACGGTTACGGCACAAGGGTAACCTTGCCGAAGTGAAATCTAAAAGCTTTAGACTAGGGTAACCCATCTGCTTTATCAGCTACGGTAACAGCACTGTTTTACCCGCCGGTCCACCAAACATTCTACCACCCTTTGCTCACCGAGTAGTGTTAGTGGAAGTTGACCTTCCCGCACTGGCTCTCGTGATATCGCTCGGCTGTGGCGGCACGACAATTCTCTCCGAGACTGATATGAGTCAGATCTCGGATTTGTGCTGCTCCATCGCATTGCCTGGCTTGAGCAACCCGCAGATGCAGAGCCGCGTAACTGCTTTGGAGCCAAGTTAGCTTACCTACAGGGTATTTGAGATGCTTTGTGTTTACAACAGTGCAATTCACGTTCGGCTGGCTCGTAAGAGAGATAACGTAAGAACACGGGATACGTTCGTCTTGATTTGTGATACTGAGAGAATGCAGGATTTTACAACCGTGAGTGGTCTGATTTAGAACGTTTGCGACTATAGACGGCAAACACTGCATGTGTAGATTTATTAATAGTTTTTTTCTTTTGCACCAAAACATATTTTTGTGTGTTCCACCTAACTCTTGCATCAGCGTGTTGTTTTTGCTTGTCTTAGCTCTCGGCCTTAACGTGACGCAATCATCGCATGACGCTCAATCTCATCGAGATAAAATCACTGATTTTCTTATGAAGCGTTGTTGGCTGCTGTTTTTGATTAAGTATAAAGACATTAATGTAAAATGGAGAGACATGTGCTGCTTTGTTTAACCAAACGAATTAACGAACTTGCTGTGCACCATGGTCTCTCGGAGCTCTGGATGATGCCCTGTGCAATTTGTTCATGCGTTTCGTCTGATCTTATTGTTTGCAGATTGTAAGCGGCTGACGCATTTAACTTGTTGTGGAGCACATAAGTTTTGCCCGAAGATCGTTGTGGAGTGTGCTCTTTCATTTGTTATTATAGCTACCGCCAAGTCTTGTTGGTAAAAGATTTTGTCGAAGCAAAGCATGACTGATCCTTAGCTATCATATTATCGCTGACAGCAGCAAAATGAGCTATGCAATCTTTCTCAGGCAATTCCAAAAGACCACAATGTCGGTATTCATCGTTACGCGTCTTTTGCAAGACCGAAAGTATAGTTCATACTGAAAAACTGCCTGCCCTTTACAGGAACTGGAAGTCTGGCCAAAGGCGCCTACGCACGCGGCAAATCTTTAAGCCGCTGTCACGTGCGCACATACATGTTTACCACTTATACAGGCTGAGGCAACAATACATAGCGCGCACCGATCAGCATGTAATCCCTCTTACAAGGTGAACACCCTAGGAACATCATGTTCTGGTACAGTGTACCACACTTCAGGTCTTCATCGTGGGTTTACACAATTCGCTATGGATTAGTGCTGTAAAAAAGCAAGCCTTAAGATAAAACCTGACGATGCAGGCGTGCAACCGCTCGCTTCGATAAAGCTATATCCAGATTCGTAACAGCATTGCTGTTCGAAGCGTTTGGCACTGCAATTTATGTTGCGTCCGCTTCTGGCGTCCTACGTATCCCCTATTCGATAGGTGAGGTCACCGTCGTAACATGGAGCGATACATTGCCGGGCGATTCAATAGCGAAAAGGATTATCAACTCGCCATTTCTGTGATAGATATCGTGACGACACCACTACGTATAATCTATTTTGATCACAAATGGCTAAGAGCAAGCAGGTGCACCTTGAATTAGACGCGGGTATTTTTCATTGCTAGGGCTTCTTGTCATGAACAGGGTAGTTTTCCTCTTCTACCTTGAACAAGCGAGACTCAAACGCATTTTGTGTTTATATCCACCGGTATTTGCTTGAAGTACAGCACAGCTTATGGTATTGTCGCGTAGTCTGAAGTACCACGGATGACATGAAATGGCCGATTTGAGTCTTGTAATATCGGGCCGGGATACGAATGAGACTTTGTTTCATGCCGCCTCTTCCGCCGCATCCAACACTGACTGATTTCCTTCCAAGGATATCGGTGAGGTAGCGCTCTTTACACTATACTTGTACAAGTAGCTGGCCAGAACATGGTGCCACATCGTTAAGGTTTTTAAAAATGTACGATCAACAAAGGCATTTATATTTGGGGGATCTGCCCGCACGTCTTCCCTTCCAATGCAATAACCCAGAAAAATAATTTTGTTCAAAGGCTCACTTGTCTGTAAAAGAAAAATAGCGCTTTAGGCGCACCACTCAAGCACCGCTCGCAAGGGTTCAATTGTGGTTTTCCACTTCCGACATTTCTCTCAGCATGATAGTAGACAAATACATCAACGACATAGGTTTGTTCATGGCTACGATGTGACCTAAACAGCTGTATCAACAGGCGATTGAACGCTGCTGATGTAATAGATAGTCCAAGTTGGATAATAAGCCACTCCAATAGCTTTTCGCTCTGATTACTATGTGTAATGAGCCAATTGTCGATGTTTCTCAAAAGAAAGAAATGACTTTTATTAATTAGGTCGTGGTACGAAAGAAGGCTTAGTTGACTATACTGGTCTGTAGCGCATCCATTCTGGAGTTTAGTTTGGATTCGCGGCCTTACTCTGTACACTATAAGCATGTTCAATTCGCCACGTGTCTTTAGCCTTTCGGTCGTTGTGAGACAGAAAAGCGCATCAAGTAAGTATAATTATCATCATGTACCGAACATTCTTCGTGTTTTGATCATAAGAATTTCAGTGACGTTGGTAGGGTCATCGACGTGTGGCGCAGTATTCGTTCTACGAGCCAAGTAAATTTTAGGATAGACATCCGCTTCAGGCGTACTATGCGTAAAAGGTCACTTGTTGCTTAAAATATGAGAGCTGGCGGAGTCCAAAAGGGCACCGCTTTCAATTCGTACTCTAGGTGACTAAACTCACTGTTTTCCCCTCCTACAGCAGATACCAAGAAGCAGACGTTTGACAATAGCGTGAATTAATGCTTGGCATTTCGAAATACGAAACACGTTGCGGATATCGAGGTAAGAGCTTATCACCTCCGCTTTTGTAATTTAGAGACACTTCGTCAGTATTAGGCACCTGTTGCGGCTCAACAACACAACTGTACCGATCTACAACATATTCGCAACACAATTATCGCTGATAGCTAGTGATGTGCGGTACGCTGAGCGCTTTGCTATTTCTTCGCAATGAATAAACGTTGACGATGCTTTTGATCATAAGTTTTATCGGTACCAGGACAATCTTGCCGAATTAGAACTCCAGCCTCTCATGAGTTCTTAGACCCTTCTGCGGCTGGCTCTTGCGAAAGAATTCAATTGATGCAGCACAGCGATTTTTCTCTAAGCGTTTCTGGTCTTATGGATGCATGTAAAGATAGGTAACTGCATACAGTAGAAACTCATTGCCTCAGTCATATTCATGTTTGCCTCGGCTGCTATAACATGGTGTCATGCTCTTATGTCCTGTCGCTTTAGCCATAGCATCTCGCATCTTACTAAAAATGATCAATTTTAATGAAATATACCTACTGCTTGAGTTACGAAGTGTAACCGAGATGAAAGCAACAAGTGAAATTGATCGATAGCTTTTCATCCACGAAAACCGTATTTGCTTTGTGGTGGTGCCGATAGTACCAGGGTAACCAATCTGCAGCGAAGATTCCGTAGCTCTTTCGCTTAGAGGAAGATTAGTTAAGGTCGGTGACTTCGAACCAGTAAAAGTGTAGCGGATTGCAATTCACTTACCAAGAGTAACTACAACTTAAACTTTAATCTAATTTACTCTTCCGTTTAGAATGTAAACTGTTTAATGCAACAGGGCCGCCTAAATATTTAAATCTATAGGTTTTCCTATCTCTATAGAAATATATAATTAATTGTATAACTACTGGCTGTTCCAGTCACGTACTGACTTTTTGCTTAAGTGTAGCCACACCATTGTGTGGTCGTACCATCTTGTGCCACCCACACCATTGTGTGATCACACCAGGTTGTATGACCCACACCATTCATGAAACCCATTTACACAATCCAAATTCAAAGATTTGATAAAGTTGTCGAAGCATGTACTGCTACTCATACCCATTGAGTGGGAGCACTCGCTTCACACTTCGGTCTCTGTGCGTAATTGCTTTAACGAAAAACAAACACCACACAATTGACATGTTCCGTCTGACCATTTATCAAGAATTGGTCAGCGGTTGACACATCAATCTAATACAGAGAACATTGACAAACGTTAACTAAAAATTCGCAGTGAAGATCAGATTTTTATCCGTTACAGTGGCCATCGGCTGCCCTTTTGGTGAAAAACTCCCCGA